TTGTTTGGTCATTGGAGTCTTCTTATGGACGGTTAACTTACGCAGTATAAATAAATAAAAATGTTTGCCCACATTACCGAAAAATTCTGGCTTTGTTTTATGTAAAAGATGTGTTGACAACTCTATTAAAGTTTCTCATATATACACGCAAATATTTTTTTTTCAAATAAAAATACTTGCGTGTATATAACTCTATTAAAATTTCTCTCATATACAAGAAAATATCTCAATCGAATAGATATTATTGTTGTCCTTCTTCTATCAATATCACTATACTCTTGCTCAATATTGTTAGGATTGGCATTATTGTTGCATGATTGGTTTGCACAGTATGAACTCAGGAAAAAAGTCAAAACTCTTGCTCAATAAACTTTCGTTAAACCACATCCTTATGTCATGTGTTTCTATTTAAATTGAATTAAACCTTCTCAAATCCTTCATGTGGAAACTATTCACCCCTTCTAAGTTAAACTATTTAAAATATTAATAATTTATACGCATTAGTAGTTAGAATGCTAATATCCAATTCGAAACAAATCAATTGAAAATAGGTGAAGAGGTACAAGAATTTCGTGAAGCACTTATGCAAGCCTTACAGCATGGATCTGCGTACATAATTAACATTGCCATTTTAGCTTAGATACTTTCTCGGTTTCTCTGCAAAGATGAAATCCACTCAAAGAGTAAGTACAAATAATATTTTCCATCAAATGTGTACAAAGACAACAAGTATTATTATTGAGTTTGTACATCACTATGAGAAAAAGCTAGAAGACATGGGTTTGACAAAGTTGCAAGAAGATTTTCGCTGCAAACAAGGTATGCCTCGTCTCAAAGTAATTAGTGAAATTTTATGTCATGCAGCTGAGGCGTACACCAATAAATATTCAAGTTCTTTGAAATTGAGTATATGAGTTGTTTGATGGTAAGGTTAAGAGAAGTTAGTAATGAAGAATGAGTTACTATCTATGAAGCAACCGAATAAAGTCATAAAAGAGTGAACACAATTGAGTTTATCTCTCATACCTATGGTTTCCTGCTCATGTAAAATGATTATGAGAATTTTAAATATAAAAGAATGATAAAAGATTATATTTAAGACTTGTCACGTGGCGAGTTTTAAGTGAATTGTAGTGTCACTCAGCGAAATCCAATGACAAGCCAAGCCCCACACAAGTTTTTCTCCAATTCATAACTGATTTTTGCATTACCACATTGTATATAACACTTCTCCACATGTGGATTGACTAAATATGAATGCTAAGCAATATCTAGGGTCACTATTTTCTTTGTCCCTATTTAATCTTAATCACATGGTCTTATTTAATATCATGATATCTGAGTTGATAGCTGGGTAGAAAACGAGGTCCGACAGAAAATCTAAGAAACTATATTTAAGAATGCCAGATTAGTAATAATTTATAAATTAGATTTCACTCAAATAACAAATTAAATGGTGATATGGAGGCATGGTGTTATAAATTAAACTGTATACCACACCGGGCTCCTCGTTTACGTTTAAAAGACTAAGGGTTAGTTTGGAAGTAGTTTTAAAGTGAGTAAAAGCACTTTTGGTGAAAATATTTTTGAAACCAAATGTAAGCACTTTGATGGTTCTCTAAAGTGCTTTCAAGTATTTTAAAAATACTTCCAAACTCAAAAATTATTTGCCATGACATTATTGTTGTTGCATTATTGACTTGCATGAACTCAGGAAAAAGGTCAAAACTGTTGCTCAATAGACTTTTGTTAAACCACATCCATATGTCATTATGTCATGGTCCAAGCTATGACGACGTGTTTGCATTATCATATACAATATTGATATACATGGAACATATGTATCACAACAGGGGCAAACTGAAACACCACGTGATAGGGTGTCAAATATGTATTAGAAGTTAGTGGTAGATCCTAGACATTAACTTCTAATACATGTATGACACACTATCACGTGGTATTTCAGTTTACTCGTGTTGTAATACATGTTTTATATATCAATATTGTATCTGATATGCAAACTTCTCGTTAAAGCTTGGACCATATCCATAGAAAGGAACAACACATCAGATATATAAATAGGGAAACTTCATCTTGTTTTCGTTACCAATTTTAGTTTTCAGTTTTCTTACAAAATTGTTACATTTTTTTTTTGTTTGTAAATTTGACACAAGTAATTGATGATAAAGTTGAACCATCCAGCCCGCAGGAGGAAATTCAAACATATCATCTTCCAAACAGTTTCCGCAAGAATCTCTTGACTCCTTCAAAGATGCCGTTTAACCCTAGCTTTTCTATTGTCTGAATTTTGTAATTTTTGATTGATGTATTTATCACTTGTATTATCAATTTGTTATACAAGAGTTTGTTTTACATCAAAACTCTTCTTTGAATATACGGAAGGAAACTTCACCGAGCAATATGATACTCCATTTTCTATCGAGCAACATCATACTCAATCTTCATTTTCTATCTATTGAACTAGTATTGTTGAGAGTATATCCAACATTGAAATTGGAAACCTTGCATAAGTGCTTCATGAAATTCTTGTACCTCTCCACCCACTTTCAATTGATTTGTTTCGAATTGGATACTCACATTCTAACCATTAATGTGTATATTTTATTAAAATTTTAACTAGTACAGGAAGGGTTCGAGAGTTTAATTCAATTTAAATAGAAACAGGTGACATATGGATGCGATTTAACAAAAGTTCATTGAGCAACAGTTCGACTTTTTCCCTGTGTTCATACTATGCAAGCCACTAATGCAACAACAACAATGCCATTGCGTGCTGATATTGATAACAGAAGAACTACAATAATATCTTAGTCTAGAGGTGGAGGTGAGTATATATGTAGTTTAATTTATAACACTATGCCTCCATATATCACCACTTAATTTGTTATTTGAATGAAATCTAATTTTAATACTAATATGACAGTTTCTATTGTTGATATTGGTTCCTTACCTACTCAAAGATGAATAGGAACTCCTACTTAAAATTTCTCAAAATTGTTCGTTGTCAATTTATAGAACTTCGTGTTTATAATCAGAACCATTCATATTATAAATCACCCTATAAAGATCATATATGCAAAAAATCAATGAAAACTAAGGTCGTTTAGTCATCAAACTATTTAAAAACAAATTATTGGTATTGGTAAAAGCATTACGAATAGTCTATGTATTTGCTACAATTGATTGACAAAACAACCTTAGTTTTAATTTAATTTTTGCAAAGATGATCTTTACAGTATGATTCATAGTATGAACGATTCTAATCATAAGTACAAAGCTCTATGATTAAAACACTAAGAGTTTTGAGTAGGAGTTTCTGCTTATCTTTGAGTAGCCAAATATTGTTTTTTTAAGAAAACAAACTGGCTTATAGTTGATATACAATTCTTGATTATTTGGTGGTTACTGTTCATGTCAGCCTGAGGGAGGTTTAAGTTTGGTATGCAAACCCAACCCCTCCCCAACTTGAAAAATACGCACACGTTTGGAAGTACAAGGGTGTGATATGTCATTGCCATGTAATTTTGAAGTCATGAGATGATCAAGTAGCATATATTGACATTTCTAGCACTTTCCAAAGAAATATCGGCTTCGAGAAAGTTGGAGTTGGACAAAATGTGGTCAAACCAAAGTTAATGCCACAATAATTTTGACTTTATCTGGAACTCATACGACGAAAGCCATCATGCAACAATAATAGCTAATGTTATTAGCCTGGGCATGCATCCACAATAATTTTGACTTTATCTGGAACTCATACGACGAAAGCCATCATGCAACAATAATAGCTAATGTTATTAGCCTGGGCATGCATCCAATGGATATATGTATAAGAGTCGATAGCTACAACATCCATTTATAATTATCAACATTATATCAAAAACATGAAGTAGCACAAAATTTATGAAGAATCTCATTTTTAAAAGAGTCCACACTTCTCAAACTTTTCTCTTGACTTAGGGTCCGTCTGAGTCGATAACTACAACATCCATTTATAATTATCAACATTATAAAATATTGTATCAAAAACATGAAGTAGTAGAGAATTTATGAAGAGTCTCATTTTTAAAAGAGTTTGCACTTCTCAAACTTTTCTCCCGACCTGGGGTCCGTCTTAGTCTGATTGTAGTTCCGTCCTTGATCTCCAGCCTATAAGAGTTTTATACTCTAATTCATTTTATCTCACATAACTTTTAGTTTTTTGACAAATTAATTCAGTTTAGCCGTTGCTAGCTCATCCGTGTTGACATTGAAAAGCTCAAGCCATTAATCACGCAACAAAATTCCTTGATCCATTTGAGTCCAATGTTATATATATATAATATTTTACCATCATAAGTGGTCCAATACTGTTAATTTTTCCTTTTGTAGAACAATATTGTCTTGTTTGGTCATTCATTGGAGTCTTGTAATGGAAGTTAACTTATGCGGTAAAAACAAATACAAATGTTAGCCCACCGCACTAAAAATTCTTGACTCCGCTCTTGTGTAAAAGATGTGTTGACAGCTTTATTAAAGTTCCTCTCATTTATAAATATATATATATATATATATATTGGTCAAAGTTCCTCTCATATATACACGCAAGTACTTTTTGGGATAAGTACAGTGCAGTAAGATTGAAGTACCTATCTACGTCTTACATCATTTACAACATGGATCTAAGTAAATAACATTGCTATTTTAGTTCACACGTGAGAAATAAGGACATTTTAAAGAATTATTGTTGAGATAGAAATAAATAATACAAATGATAATGGTCAAAAACTCAAAGATAACGGTAACGGTAACGGTCAACTCAAAAGTCATTGTCGAGATAGATAATAATATACAATTGATAATCGCCCGGTGTTTTGAACAAGAAAGTCCATTTTCAAAGTTCAACTTGTTAATTGACCGGAGAGAGTGGTTGAACATGAGCACTCCGTCTATCTATATATAAGGGTTGGCAGTGAGGCTACATCCACCACAAACTATAACACAAACTAAGTTTGAGATCAAAACATGGTTAACGGAAAAACACAGGGAGCGGTGCCGAAAGTGGCAGTGGTGGTGAGTTTGTTGAAAGGGAAGACGGTGATGTTGGGGCGCCGCCGTTCCTCTCTTGGCGACTCCACTTTTTCCTTCCCTGGTGGCCACCTCGAATTCGGTAAATACGTGTTGGATAGGGTTTTATTTTCTTTATCTTAGTTTTTCCGTAAATATTTAAGTTACTTAGGCACGCAAAATCAAATATCAAATTACAAACGAACCCTCTAATGGATGTACACCCAAACTGACAAGTCCAATATTTGTATTTTTGTGTTTGCGTAGGAGAGAGCTTTGGGGAGTGTGCTGCAAGAGAAGTGAAGGAAGAAACTGGGCTGGACATCGAGAAGATAGAGGTGCTGAAGGTCACAAACAACATATTCGAAGACAAAGGCAAGCTGTACCACTACGTAGGGATTTATGTGCGAGCAATGTTGGCAAGTCCAGATCAAGAGCCCGAGAATGTGGAGCCAGACATGTGCGATGGTTGGGGTTGGTATGAGTGGGATAATCTACCCAAACCACTCTTTCGCCCTTTGCAGAATGCGGTGGATTCCGGATTTAATCCTTTTCATGCATTATAAGTACTCTGTCCACAAAATTTGTACCATTAATTTGATTACCTCAATAAAAATGTTTTCTCATGTTTGAGAATTGAGAATGCTGCAGGTTCTAATTAATTTGCTTGTGGTGTTGATATTCGTTTCTCTTAAAATAGCATGGTAAATGATAAAATAATTAGCAAAATTTGGAAATAGATCACACACACACATGTGTGTGTGTGTGTGTATATTAATGAATTGGGACACTAGGTAGTTAACCAAGTCCTTCTATTCTCGAAAGTACTTACATTTTACAGAGAATTTGATTTAGATAAAAAAGATGTGGTTGACCAAACGTAATATTTGCGGCTGTGCCGACGTGTTTAGCCAAGTTTGACTTCTTCCAGAAAGTACGAACATGCATGGCAATCATAAGCAAATGGAAAAACGAGTGCCGTTGGTATCAGGACCTCATGTTGACGTAGGATGGAAGTTTGTCAACTGCAAACAAATATATGGTCAGTTGAAAAGGTAATGTTAAAGAGATTATGTTTTTGTACCAATTTTATTACTATATGATTTTTTTTAGGGTAAATTACACAGTAGTCTCTCAGGTTTTGAGGTCTATTACAACATCATACAACAACTTTAAAACATTTCACTTTCATACTTTAAGTACTATTTTATTTCAATATAATACATCCGTTAGATTTTCCATCCATTAGTCCGTTAAATGCTGACGTGGCTGCCACATTTGTGCCACGTGGTTGCCAAATGTGTGCCACATGGCAAAAAAAAATTTAATTTTTTTTGAAAAAAACCTAAATCTTCCAAATAAATTATAAAATTAAAAAAAAAAAATTAAAACCCATCCATCTCCTCGCAACCCCCCCCCCCCGCCCAAAACAAATCCAGATCCTTTTTCCCCCACCCCACCCACCTCACAGAAACCTCATTCCTCTTCCTCACCCCCCTCCTCCTCCTCTCTTCTCCCCGAAGAAGAACAAGAAGAAGAAGAAGAAGAGGGAGGAAGAAAAGAAAAAAAAAATATTTGTCCATAACCCCCCCCCCCAACCCCAGCGACACAGAAGAAGAAGAAGAGGAAGAAGAAGAAGAAGAAGAGGGAGGAAGAAAAGAAAAAAAATAAAAATTTGTCCCCTACCCCCCGCCCAGCAACCCACCTCCGGTCCCCCCTCCCGGCCCGGCGACCCTCATCCCTCTTCTTCTTTTTCTCCTTCTTCTTTTTCCCCTCCACCCCTCCATCCATCCCCTCCACACCCCCCCCATCCCACCCACCCCGACCTCCCCCGCAACCCCCCCACCCCCCACACAGAGCTGTCAGAGGCAATTTTCAAACCCCTAATTTACCAAAAAAACCATAAATTCGATCAATTTCACATACAATTCATAAACCCAATTCAAACATATGCGCATTTGATAGAGAGAGGAAGAGAGAGAGAGAGAGAGAGAGAGAGAGAGAGGGAGGAGGGCTCCCATGATGAAACTGACCCAGTCGCCGAGCACCATCGTGCTCCTGGGTGGAGAAGGCAGGTGGGTCGTCGCGCGCCGGGGAGGGGGGAAGGCAGGTGGGTCGTTCTTTGTTTTGGCTTTCTGGAACTCTGATTTTTCTTAGCAAAATGGTGAAGACCAAGAAATTGAAGAAATGGCAGTGCAGCGAAAGCCCCAGTTGGTGATGGGATTCGAAGAAAGGGAAAATGATAAATGGGAGAGAGGGAAGGCAGGTGGGTCGTCAAGGGAAGCAGGCGGTCGTTGGGGGTGGGGGGAAGGGATTTTGTAAATGTGAGTTGAGTTGCAGAGAGATGAGGGGGTGGGATGTGGGGAAGGGGGAGGGGATCTGGGTTCGGGTTTTTGTGGTTTTTTTTTTTTTTAAATAATAGGGTTAATATTATAATATTGTTAATGTATAAAAAATTATTATTTTTGCCAGGTGGCAGCCACATCAGCACAAATGTGGCAGCCACGTCAGCATTTAACAGACCATTGGATGAAAAATCTAATGGAGGTGTTATTTTGAAATAAAATAGTACGTGAGGTATGAAAGTGAAATGTTTTAAAGATGTTGTATGAGGTTGTAATAAACCTCAAACTTAAGGGGTTTCTATGTAATTTACTCTTTTTTTTAAATACTTATAAGATTTTAAATTACTTTGACTTATCCAGGTAAATTTAAACTTGAATGCAAGAAAATAATACTCTAGCCAAATAATGATTAGATAGACTAATACCGTAACTACACAATGCTTTAATAAGTAATGTGTAAGGCATTTAACAAAAACAAAAAAAAAAAAAAAACACACACACACACAATTTTGGTCTTATTTAAAAATAAATATCAGACCACACTCCTATTTTGCTTGCTGTTGTATTTCCATTTCTTTTTCGGTCGTGTCTGTGTTATTTCCTTTTTCATATATATCCCTGGGTCGTATCCTACTCAAGTCCTTGTTTGTTTGGGCCTTAGGCCTTTTGTAGCACAAAGCACCAGCCCCATATCCTACCCTAATTTAGAGGGGTCCTCGTCGTACAAATAAAACCTCTTTCCTTTCCTAGCGAAGTTCAAATCCGAAACCAAGTTGGATTTAGGTCAAACCCCTACAGCAGTAGTGTCGCATGATCATCCTTCTCCATACCTTTTTATTTCTTCTTCTCTTGTAAATTTCTTTCCCCACCGACTGTAATGTGGAGGTTGGTGAGCCAGTGTTTCCAAGCAACATCGTATGCAATCACATACTCCCCAGGCTGCCAATTAAGTCACTGATGATCCGCTTTAAGTGCGTATGCAAGTCTTGGTTCTCCCACATCCGCAACCCTTCCTTTACGACCGCTCACTGGAACTTTCACTACGACAACAAAAAAAACACTTCCCAACCTATTCTTCTATAAATGTAGGCCGCTGGCGCCTGGCGAGGAAGAACTTCTCCTAAAAAATAGATGAACAAAGCATGACTCCAGTACCTGTCACCCCACTTGCAGACATTATTCCATATGCTGGATATGTTGGAAAATTAGTTATTATTTTATTATTATTTATGGTTTTTTTTGTGGGGATGTGATATCCACATACCATTTTTTACTTCTCTCACACCCTTTTAATTTTCAGCCGTTCGATCGGATGAACTGAAGAAGATCAAATGACAGAAATCAATATTTTCGGCCGTTCGATCGGATGAATTGAAGAATATCAAATGACAGAAATCAATAATGGATATGAGAGAAGTAAAAATGAGTGTGTGGATAACACACCCCTTCTTGTGGGCTAAGGATATTAGAGTTTTTTGCCCGTTAAGGATTAAGGTTTTGCTTTAGTTTTCACTATATATAGTAGTGCTTATATTAGTTAATTTCAATAAGTCAATCAAGATATCACCTCTTCGGTTCATGTAGCCTTCCTGGTAATTCCATTTAATAAAGTTTTATATTCAGTTAGTTCGTTTGTTTGTTGCGCAATCTAATATTCAACTTGGTATCAGAGTAGATCCGATCCTTCGGGGTTGATCTGTTCTTGGGGTTGATCTGTTCTTGGTGGTATCAATTTGTTTTTCAGTCGCCGGATATCAGTTTGGTTGTAGTTTGTTTTGTCTTTGTACCTAGATTAGGGTTTTGTCGTTGAAAAAAAAAAAAAATTGAACTTGTTGTTGCACCAAGCTATCGGAGCCTTAATCTGTTGTTTACTGCTGTATGATCCCATGGTTTCGAACTGCCGCTGCCTCGTTTGCCTGACTGAATCATCCCACCTGCATCATCCTGTCTCGAACCTCGCTTGCTTGAACCACCGCGCCACCATCTTCTCGAACCACCTGCATTCATTGTCTTCTACATTCACCACCGCTGCTACTCGACATCCACGAATCCATCACTTGTTTGACGAAGCCCAGACCCGAGAACCACAAACTCGGATCGAGTTCGTCTTCGCCTTGCACTTTGTGCAATCTCGTACTCGCACCATACCTCCAGACCACTTGATCAATGACCTGCACCATCTGCACCGTGGTTGAAGGAAGTCCCTAGGAAGAAAAGAAGAAAGGTTTTTGCGTGATTGAAGGAAGCCCCCAGAATAATTAAAGAGCAAAGGTAAGAAAAATGATGGTTTGTTTTGACATGAGGCCCACGTGGGCCTACTGTGTTGAGCCGACTCTGCATTTGTTGATTGAAGCCTACACTCTTGTATTAGAAAGTCTATTATTCTTGCCTACCACGACGATCATTTGAGTGTTTGGACTGGTGATCGCTTGAGTGACGTTGTGTGCATATAAAAGTTTGGATCCAATATATTTGAATGAATGTTCTGCTACAATTGCAGCAGAACTTATATACAAGATTATTACAGACGCATGCAATAAACAAAGGACAGAAAGTGGCATCCATGCTGTCCTTGTTGAAGCAGTCAGTAACCACATGCAGTGGCCTTGCTGTCCACGTTAATAGTGCATCCACACATGCTAACCTAGCTGTGAAGGAATGATCATATTCCTTCTGTCCATATTCCTTCTGTCTAGCATCAGAGTAGATCACCTTTAACACTCCCCCTCAAGTTGGAGTGTGGATATCAATAACACCCAACTTGCCAAGATGTGAATGGAAGGTAGGTGCTCTCAGTGGCTTTGTAAATATGTCTGCTATTTGACGTCCCGTCTGCACATGAGACGTCTCGATCTCTCCCCTCTGAATCCTTTCACGGACAGTATGACAATCCAGCTCTATGTGTTTGGTTCGTTCATGATACACAGGGGTTCGCTGCAATATGTAGAGCAGCTTGATTGTCACAAAACAACCTTGCCGGCTCGGCTCAGGATGATTTACACGCAAATCATTCAACAAATTCCTCAGCCAAGTAAGCTCACAAGTGGTTGCAGCCATGGAGCGATACTCGGCTTCTGCTGAAGATCTTGCCACCGTGACTTGCTTTTTACTTTTCCACGATACAAGTGATTTACCAAGGAAGATGCAAAAACCTGTCACTGATCGTCGTGTGATCGGACATCTAGCCCAATCCGCATCACAGTAGCCAATCAAATTAAGTTGGTTCTCCGTAGGGAATAGTAACCCTTGTCCTGGTGCTTCTTTCAGATATTGGAGGAGACGATGTGCTGCTTTAAGGTGATGGAGTGTTGGTTCTTGCATGAACTGACTGAGATTATTCACTGTATACGTAATATCTGGCCTAGTGATGGTAAGGTATATTAATTTTCCAACCAAACGTCGATATCGAGTCGGATCCTTGAGGACATCACCACCTGTTGTTGTCAACACTAAATCGGGTTCCATAGGTACCTTGGCAGGTTTTACGCCAAGCAAGCCAGCTTCCTCCAATATGTCCAGAGTATACTTTCGTTGGCAAATGGAGATCCCAGCTTTGGACCGTGCAACTTCGACACCCAGAAAATATTTTAATGGTCCGAGGTCTTTAATTCGAAAACATCCACTAAGAAATTGCTTGAGTTGACTGATAGCTTCCTCATTATTTCCTGCAATGATCATGTCGTCAACGTAGAGCAATACTACACAGTAATGGAGTATCCACAAACTTTAGTGAATAATGAGTAGTCTGCATGAGACTGTTGAAAACCAACTTCTTGAATGGTTGATGAAAAACGTTGGAACCAGCTGCGAGATGCCTGCTTGAGTCCGTATAATGACTTGTGAAGTCGACAAACCATAGTCTCCCCCTGTCGACAATAACCAGGAGGGGGTAACATATATATACTTCCTCATGGAGTGCACCGTGAAGGAAAGCGTTTTGGACATCCATTTGGTGAAGAGACCAGCTGCGAACAGCAGCAATGGTCAAGAGACAGCGGACAGTAATGAGCTTAGCAACGGGGGCGAACGTCTCTTTGTAATCAATACCTTCGCGCTGCGTGAACCCTTTGGCGACAAGGCGAGCCTTGTAGCGTTCGATGGTACCGTCGGAATGATACTTGATTTTGAAGACCCATTTACATCCAATGGGGCGTTGGTGGAGGGGTAAAGGAACCAAAGTCCAGGTGTGATTGGCTTCAAGTGCGTCAAGCTCAGAATGCATAGCTGCAAGCCAGTGAGGGTCATGGCGTGCCTGCTCATAGGAGGCTGGTTCAACTAAGTGAGAGACATTGTGAACAAATGAACGATGAGCATGAGAGAGTCGGGCATAAGAAACATACCTGTGAAGAGGGTATCGTGTGCCGGACATGGTGGAAGAGATGGCGCTGGACTGAAGCAAAGCAGCATGATGGGTCTGATAGTCACGAAGGTGGGCAGGGGGTTGTGTAATGCGGGCGGATCGACGAAGGGGAATTAGGGGCAGCGAAGGAGACGATGGTGCTGGTGATGGCGAGGTAGGAGTGTCTGGGGTTGGAGGAAGTATGTTAGGAGTAGGGTCGTCAGGAAGGGAGGGAGGGGATGAGTCGGGTGATAAGGTAGGTAGATCAATAGTGGGAATGGGGTCTGAAGGTGCAGGAGTAGGGTCGTCATGGGGAACAGGTAAGACCGGGGTAGGGTGGGCAGGTTCTGGTGGTAAGTTAGCAAGAGGGAAAAGATGTTCATGGAAGATGATATCTCGAGAGGTAAAGATGCGCTTGCTATCAAGGTCGTAAACGCGATAGCCCTTCTGACCAAAGGGGATATTCCCAGGAAAATGCAGCGACGAGCACGAGCATCAAATTTGTGTGAGGGAGTGAGGTTGGTAGCATAGCATAAAACACCCAAAAACTCGGAGATGAGTGTAGACAGGTAGTGTCCCATGCAAAAGTTTATAGGGAGATTGATGGGAAAGTAGAGGTGTTGGGAGGCGGTTGATAAGGTAACAGGCAGTTTGTACACTCTCTCCCCAGAATTTTTAAAGGTAGGTTAGCTTGTAATCGTAAGGCTCGGGCAACATTTAAAAGGTGACGATGTTTGCGTTCAACGACTCCGTTCTGTTGAGGGGTGTGAGCACAGGTGTGTTGAAAAAGAGTGCCATGAGTATCTAAGAAGGATCGTAGAGAAATGAATTCCCCCCCATTGTCGGCACGAAGAATTTTAATGTCACGGTTAAACTGTGTTTTCACCCAAGAAAAGAACGAGTGGATTATGGTTTGTGTGTCAGATTTAAATCGCATGAGATGAACCCATGTGAATCGAGTGAAGTCGTCTACAATGGTGAGGAAGTAACGTGCTCCAGAGGATGTATGTGTTTGGTGCGGCCCCCAAATATCACAGTGGATCAAATCAAAAGGTGCAATTGATTTTATTGAACTGGAAACAAATGATGAACGAGTTTGCTTTGCTAAGGGACAAATATCACAAACATCTGTAGAATGAAAGATAATTTCTGGAATGGTTTGGGATAAAGAGTGAAGAGGTGCCGAGGATGGGTGCCCAAGACGTTGGTGCCACAGTGTCGAGGTATGGTTGACATGGTTGGCGAGATGAGGATTTTGTGTTGGAGTGAGGTAGTAGAGGCCATTAAACTGCTTGCCCAGGCCAATCATCTTCTTCGTAGCCATGTCCTGCACAACACAAAAACCCGGGTAGAAAATCACAATACATTTCAATGCCCAAGTTAATTTACTCACAGACAATAGGTTCACACGAAATTGTGGTACGTGCAAAACTCTATGAAGGGTGAGCTTGGGTGACAGTTTAATAGACCCAATGGATTCAATCGCAGCCTGTCCACCATTTGGTAACCCAACAAAATCATGTTGGGGTCTAGTGTGATTATGGATGGGTGATGAGTGAGAAATATGATCTGTGGCTCCACTATCTACGATCCAACAGGTTGTTGAATGCGGAGAATGTTGTGTACCTGTTGCATGTGCAAGTGGCAGATTGGTACCATTCTTATTGCGAAGGAGGGCCATGAGTTGATGATATTCCTCGGTTGTGAACGTTGGTTGATTGCTGGAGATGGGTACTTTGGTTGCGTCAATCTGAGCAGTTGTCAAAGGGAGTGTTTCAACATTGTTGGAGGCTGGATGTGTTCGCTTATTTCTGGGCTGCACATTCTTCCCGTGCCATTTGTGTCCTTCAGGGAAGCCAATGAGAAAAAAACAACGTTCAATTGGATGTCCTCCGTCACAGTAGCTGCATTTGAAAAGCTTTCGTGAACTAGGGTTGTGGGTGCCATAGCCTCCTTTGGTGCTGTTGAACGACTGGATTGCATTGCATGGGCAGTGGGTTCACGACGATTCACCACATCCAATTGGCGTTCGTGTTGGAGAACCAATCCATGGACTCGTCGTGTATCCGGGAGTGGGCTCATCATCAATATAGAGCCTCGGATGATGGAGTAGTTCTCGTTCAGTCCCATTAAGAACTGCATGACTCTCTCTTTTTCTTCCCTGTCTGCATGCGCCTTGGATCCTCGCATCCACAAGCAATGGGCTCATGGTATGATGCTAATTCATCCCAAAAGCCTTTAATTTTGTGTAATAATCTTGAAACAGATCTCCCGTCGGTGTTCCGACCTAATGTCGGATGTCCATTGGAATCATCCTGGAATCGTTGCCTTCGAGACATCTGCTCAAGAATCCTCCAGTGCTGCTGTCGCATTTTGCAAGTTGCAAGTCGATATCATTACCTGAGAAATTGCATGTTGATCCTTGGTCCTTGCATAAAGATTGCCAAATCCAAGATCTGCACTCTTGCCAAAAACCCTGTCAAAATTGCTTTAGCCAATTCTGGAGCGATTGCAGTATCAAATGTGAGTGATTGTTGCACAGATAAACCGCTGGAGTCCTTGACGCAAATTGACCCTAGTCGCATTGCTGATTGAATCCATTGGCGCATCCATGTGCGTGGCAGGGTTCTTGATTGAGCCCATCCAACAAGAGTCTTGGCGCTGATAGTTGTGAGATCCATGACCGAATGTGTGAGTTTGAACTAAGACTGATCTGGAATGATTGTAGAGTAAGAGAGATCAATACATGAGGTATCACATCTGAGTCAATCTGGTGGGTGGTTGATGAGAGAAAATGTTTTGGGTTTGTGGCGGAAGGAATAGCCTTCCAAAGTAAAGAATCGGCTGGATCTGATACATATGCAAGTTTGGCAATATATTTGCCTAATGAATTTCCTCATATTAGCAAACAGTTTACTGACACCATATAGAACAAAGGACAAAAGTGGCACTGTTGCACTCAGAAACCAAACAGTGGCCAGTATCATATCCAACAATCAAGTTGTGTGGCATGGAATGAGTGTCCACGTAAGCTAAATAAACCTGTGCATAACATGAGTATCCTTGTGTCTAATAATATCATATTGCCTTCTGTATGTTTATGTCGCATGTGGTTGATGGAGGGAAACAGAATAAATCGTTGCATAGCCTATGGAGTCAGCTGTTAACAATGATGGTGCCTTTAAGGCCCGTTCAATTAGGTGATGAAATGTGCTTTTGTGATCTAATTCGTGAGTGGAATTTCATTGTAATTGAAAGATATGCTTTATAATGTTCTTTAGCAATGAGGCTACATTGCAGCATTGAATCTTTCGTTTATAGCTTTTTGTCTTGTTGATCTTTAACGGATTGTTTCTTCTGCGCTAACGGATTTGCTGCTCGAATGTCTTACAATTGCTGGCAGTAGCTTCAGGCATCCATCAGCTGTCCTTTGTGAACTCATGTGTTATAAAACATGGATGTGACCTTGCTGAAAAGTGTTGAAAAATAGTGCTTCGCAAAATAATGCCTCAACAAGACGGTGCTGTGAAGGATTATTAAGTTCTTTTCCGTTATTTGATGCCAGTCTGTTAGCAATTGCAAGGCTTAAGATCACAATTTAACTTAGTGCATGTTAATAAATTTGGAGTGCCTTGTGGTTTGTTTGAAAAGTTCATAATTACATGGAAGGGCTGGTATCGAATGTTATTACACGTTCGTTTAGTTGATGGAGATGCACCTTCTTTGCTTGTTTTCATCATGCTCCTTTTGAACTTGCTGTTGGAGGATTGCTAGTAAAGATCATTTTTGGCTAATTGCTTGCATTGTGTGATTTTTTATTCCAGCTACTATGTTTGCAGTGCACGAGCAGAATTGCTCGCTTTGATCTTCCTCGTTGAATTAGTACTCGTTGCTCGAATTGCTCGAAATTGTCCTTATGGTATTCTGTTTGTCCGTGCCTAACGGGGGATCTGTATGTCGTCCTTGCGAAACTAACAAGCATTGTCTGTTTCCGAGAGGCATTTGTCTTGTTGCCTGCAAACAAGCTTCATGATGTGTACTTCCTCATTTAAAGATAAGTGCCGCAATGAGTTTTGACGGGGGATGTTTGAAAAATTAGTTATTTAATTAGTTGTTTATGGTTTCTTGTGGGCCAGGATTTAGAGTTTCTTGCCCGTTAAGGATTAGGGTTTTGCTTTAGTTTTCACTATGTATAGCAGTGCTTGTATTAGTTAATTTCAATAAGTCAGTCAAGATGTATCTTTTCAGTTCATGTAGCCTTTTTGGCAATTCCATTTAATAAAGTTTTATATTCAGTTAATTCGTTTGTTTATTGCGTATTCTGATATTCAATTGGATACTCTTTCTTTGACGTGAGTATCAACGGCTTGTTCTACTCTTCTTCTGAGGATGCCGTTATATTTAATCTAAGCATGCATGAGTAGAAAAAGTATAAATGCAAGCGTGTATAAGGTTATCGAAGTTGTGTATCATTCCAAGCTCGAAGATAGGTTAATGCTAAGTATTTTCACATTGGGCAGGAATCCATCATGCAGGGCAGGCCATTGCACGTTAACCTTGACATTCTATATATTGCCCGTTTGAGAAAAGTGTGTAGTGCCTCCACGGTGCCATGCATGAGAAGAAAAACATTATAGTGGTGTTTGGTGTTGAAGATGAGAAATTCAAGTGATCCCCTTGCCAGATCGTTGCATTGGATCTCCTAAATTCCTAATTGCTTTACCACAAAGGGCGTAGTTGATGTGAGTGTAAGACATATTCTGAAATCATAACAACAAGACATTAGGATCACAAATAAATCAAATGAATATGAAATACAGATCAACTAATTATATTGAACTTATCTGTAGAATTCGGAAGACATGGTTATGAAGATGAAGCCATTGATGAACTCTAGGTTGTCTTCTCCTTCCAAAACTCCAAAATATCCCTCTACTATATGAATAGGTTTTAGTATTCTGAGGAATTCAATGTATGGAAGTAGGGACTTAACCTAGTATTTATATACCATGAGGGTTCCTTATTAGCCGGCCTATTAACAGCTAAGAAGGTCAACCCTATCACCTTGGTTGAGTCCTATCATGATGCAATATCTTTGTATTTGAACCTCTAGATGATTCTCCTAGATTAGCTGCAATGATTTAAGACTCCACAATTCTTACCTAACTAGGACTCTTAATTTACTCGAATTGCACATCACTGAATAATCAAGTGATTTGTTCCTCAAGTAAACCAATTGTCACACATTGGAGGATGTGATGTACATGTGGCGGTGTATGGAAATAAGCAGTTTGAACAGGAGAGGTTTAGACATGAGAGGTCATTTGAGTTGTGGATTTTGAAGGAATATGACAACCGTGTGTGGGTTAAGGACACTATTCCCTTAGTGATACGCTACGCTTATGATTATGAAAGGCACATTCATGATAAAAACACCTTTGTACTCCACCAGGATATGACTTCTGTTGGATAACATATCAACGGATATTTCGATTTCTTATTTTTCCTCAAACCCTCCCATATATATGCTTCACAAAAAAATCAGATAGAAGATCGTTTGAAGATGTCTCATGTGCTTCTCCAACAAAATCACTTAAAATGACTTTATAAATAAGCACATAATAGTTGCTCCTTCACGTAAGTGATTCTGATCATCCTATTATCAGTTTTAAACAAGACCTTGGTCTTATATTGTGGATTATGATGAAGTTTGTTTTTGTTTGGTTAACCAGATTACATTTCAAGTTCTTCTTGTGTTATCCTTCTCAATGTAACAGAATGTGTTACTTTTAAGGACAGATTGTTTGGACATCCATATATATATATATATATATATATATATATATATATTAAACATATAATTTATCATAGATTATGCTAAAAGCATGATGATTTTTATTTTTTTTTGGGTCTAGCAATAGATTTGTTAGATTATATGCTAAATTAGGGAGCCGACGAGGTTTGAACACACGGCGTGATGTAAGAGAACACTCATCTCCACTACTGTGGTAGAGAGACACTTGCATAGCATGATGACGAGCTAACAAAAATATTAAATATGTAACTAGTGGTTATATCTAAAATACTAAATCTGTTATTGTTTAACTTCAAGTTGTTGGTGCGGATCATTGTTAGGTTATCCGTGACAATATTTGGTCGGTCAATTTATAAAATTTCTGTGGATTGGTGGCCTTTAGGATGCTGCCCCAGAGTTCAACCAGTTCTGACCTAAATAATAGATAGTCCAACTTCACATGCTCATGGTGTGTGACAAAATTCTAAGTTGGCCTCTTACCTAGGGATCTTCCAAATTAAAACTATTCAACTTAATTAGGTAGTTGTTAATGATGGTAATAAGTAGCCAATCTAGCATGTTTGGCAGAAAGAAGTTTATTGGCTCAATGTGATTAACCATCATGATTGGATAATTAGGCCTAGTGTGAACTAGTATATACTTAAATGTGGACTTCTGTCGAGTTATAGAGAAGGGTATGCTAAGGGCTCTCTGAAAGTGAAACACTTCATAAATTATTTGTCACCTTATAGTTTAACGTCAATTCTCATGTCAATGGTGTGAAACATTGTGTCAAAAACATGAGATGATAAATAATCCATAAAGATTTCACTTTTAAGATAATCCTCTTGACATTTCTCAAAGTTTTAACAAACCCTATAAGATGATGCATAAGAGAATCCCCTTATGCATGTTCAATAATGCTCAAAAGAATAATGCTCCTTCAAATTTGAGGATTAACGGAAGGTGATAGATAATCCAAAATTTGAAGATGGCCAAAAAACTAGCAGCTTTTGAATCTAATAAAACTACTGTTTTTGCACAATATTTGCAACGATCAGACCAATCATTTAATCGAACTAGGGATAAACGAAATGTTAATGTTAAAGAGATTAAATTTGTAAATAAATGATGGATCAACACTTAAGTACGTGAATCAATAGAAAATAGAAAATAAGTACGTGAATTAACACTTAAGTAATAATTCAATCTTCAACAACCATATCATTTACTTTACAAAATTTGATTTAAAATTTTGATCTCCCTTGCAGTATCCTAAACTAAAACGAATTCACATGCAAACCATAAGAAACAAAGTAAAATAGTAGATAACAAATTGGAACACCAAAGATTACGGTGGCTAATGGTGGCTCCTGGGTCCATGTGCAGCCGTGCAGCCCTGTGCTGTTACATTGTTGCTCTTCGTAGGGACAAGAAAGGACTAAAGGGCATGTGGCTTCATTTACCGCTTCCAATGCAAGAGTCAGTCAAGCCCCCCTTTCCATGGCCATGCCACGCACGTACACTCACACATCCCCTAGGGTTGGTTTGATATTTTTGTGTTTTGAAAAAAAACTGTTTTTGCTGTATTGTAAAAATAAGCAGCTGTGAAATAAAGTAGTGTTTGGTAAACTTTTTTGAAAAAGTGCTTTTGAAAAAAAAAAGCAGTATTATAGTGTTTGGTAAACTTTTATGTAAAACAGATGTGAAAAAAACCGGTTTTTTTCAAAGCTGGGTTTTGCAGCTTCTTTGTGCTTTTTTTTAAAAAAAAAGCTTTTTTTTAAGCTGTGAAAAACTTTCTAAAAGAAGCAAAAGCCCAAACACAAAAACTGTGAAAAAAAGCTAAAGCTGAAGCTGAATGTTTACCAAACACAAAAACAGCTCCCAACTTTTTTCAGAATGACTTCAGTACCAAATCAGACCTTATTTCATGGGAACAACTTTTGCACCATAACCTGTTGGATGAATTTTTATTGTCCAAAAAAATAAAAAAATAAACCTGTTGGATGAATTTTATTTAATAGAAATGTTATGGAACTTTTTAATAGTGAAACATTTTATAAACCCGTTTTATAAGGTAACAGAGAATCTATAGAGATTTTGAAGTTGCCTTAGCATTTCTCTCTATTTAATTGTTATACGAATTTTGAAACTTAAATTCCTCTAACAATAATTAATAAGGTGGTGAGTAAAAATGCACTCGATTTTATGCACAATGTAGGCGTTGCAGGGCATTTGCAGTTTAACACTTGTGTAGAGACCTTTTTATTTTTAATATAACAATATACTTTATATATCTAAGTGCTAAATTAAGATTTGCATGTGACAAGTATGATAATATTTCATAAGAATTGTGCAAATTTGATTGTCAAATATAGGTTTCAGATAGCTTAAGCTTGATTCTTATGACACTAATTTATAGGAATTCAAACTCATATAATTCATAAATCACACTTAAAAACTGAAAATTTTCACATAAAACTCAAATTTTACGCTATATTCTCTTAATTTGATATCAAACTTTAAATTTGAGGACAACTCAAAGAATTAGCACAAGGCTTTGTCTCCTCTGCTTCCCCCATCAAATTAAATCAATCATCTTTTCAATGATAATGAATTACCATTTCTTGATTTCCATAATTTCCCTCTCCAAATTCAACTTACACAATTTTCTTCTCTCTCTTCTCTCATGTTTTTCTGATCTGTTATTTAAAGTTTAGGTAATAGGGTCTGCTCAACCTTTTTGCTTTTGTTTTCAAGGCTTTTCTAAAGCCTCTAGCTAAACAAAGTTAAAAACTTCATTTACTCAAGTAAATGGGTCCTTCTCCAACAATTCTTCTTTTTTACTCCTATCTCTCTCTCCAGTCCCCAGTCACTTCCCTCTGAGTTCTGAGTCAAAACCAACCAAATCAGTGTTTCCCTGTTTCTCCTACTCTCTCCCAAAACTTCCCAGATGAGAGAAATCTGGCAGCAAAGACCCCTCACGACTCATCTTTCTCTTTCTCCAGGAGGTACTTCCACTGGAAAAAGAAATCCGAGGACGAGGTGGACGACGACCAGGGAATACTAAACTTAAGCTACTCACATTTCTCCGAGAAATCATCGGAGAAAGATGATCACGACGAGCTCAGAATCCCAGTCGTCCATGCAGAAGTTGCAGTAATCCCACCAAAGAAACACTCTTTAATGTCAGTCTCTAAGCTCCGCTCAGCTCTCACGGTGTTTGGGAAAAGCCACCGCTCTCAGCGCCCCGTCCTCGGCCGCAGAGTGATGGGCACTCTGTTCGGCTACCGCCGCGGACATGTTCATTTGGCATTTCAAGACGAACCCAAGTCGCCCCCTGCCTTCCTGATCGAGCTGGCGACGCCGACGAGCGTTCTGGTGCGAGAAATGGCATCTGGGTTGGTGCGGGTCGCGCTGGAGACGGAGAAGAAAGCGGAGAATAAGGGTTTGAAGTTGCTGGAGGAGCCGCTGTGGAGGACTTACTGCAACGGGAAGAAATGCGGCTTTGCTATGAAGCGGGAGTGCGGCGGTGAGGAGTGGAAGGTGCTGAAAGCTCTGGAGGCGATTTCAATGGGGGCGGGAGTTCTGCCGGCGAGTGACGACGGCGTTGGGGCGAGGGGGAGCTTATTACATGAGAGCAAAGTTTGAGAGGGTTGCGGGGTCCAAGGACTCTGAGGCATTTTACATGATGAACCCTGATGGCTCTGGAGGTCCTGAGCTTAGCATTTATCTGCTTAGAGTTTAGCTTAAATAATTAGGCTTGATTAATCCATATTCTCCTTAATTATGTGATTGAGTCATGAAAATTTGGAGGTTGGGTGGTTTTTTCTCCATATATCTCTCTTTTTTGTTCAAATTTTGGAGCTAATTAAGAATGTGGGTTTTTATGCTTCAAAATTTTAGGTAGTGTGGGTCTTTGTGTATAGATGTTTTTTCCTCGTATTTCAGCTGGGATGTTGGAAAACGAGATGCCTTATTACTTATGAAAAAGAAGGTCGTGGTGGTTCGAGTTGGAAACTTTTTATTCTCCAAAATCTAAAACCACCAACTCATAGTTTTTGAGAATTTCTTCTAGACAAAATTCATCTAAATTACGAGGCAAAAACTCGAATTCGGGTCGAGTTGAAAGCACGCTAGCCTATTTGATTAAGTTTAAACGTGCTATAATTTGAGTGTTAAAATATTTTGACGATTGGATCATGTTAACGTTGGAAATTTCATTGCAAAGTTGCAAGTTCATTACCACTGTGTAGTCTATTTGTTATGTGAAAGCTCTCTCAATGTAAAGTGATACAAGGGAAAGAGACTTTTGCCGTTTTGGGATGTTTATGCAGCTATATGGGAAGATGACTTTCAAAAAAGTGTCGAGCTTTACTTTTTACCTCTTTGATAGCGCATGAGGGAGAGATCAGATGATCATGGGATCTTTTTGTAATTATATGAATGGAAAGTTTTCCTTTGCAGTTCGTATCATGAAACAATCATGGGATTTTGAAGGAAAAAAATTAGTGTTGTGATTTAATTTTCACTCGAATTATGCGCATACTTGGTTTCTCTTTATGCACTTTTTCTCTTGATTAGTCTATTCATTCTTTGTTTTATTCAATCATTCGGCTAGAAAAGAAAAAAAAATGAAAGAATGAGGTAAGTACAAAAATGATGTAGAACAAATGAGCAAATGGATTGAAGACGAAATAGAGCGAATGAAAACAAAGAGATGTAGCAGAGATTTCAAGATTTAGCGTTCAAACTCCAGTTTAGACTTATGACACACTTTTGGAAAGAGAATGATAGCCTGATTCAAATGCACCACTTTGCTGTGAAGTACAAGGAATTTTAGTCATTCGAGGCAATTTAGGCTTCCAAAAACGCATTTAAGTTCTGCAATAAAAATTGGACTTTTCGTTTCACGAATGATTATTGTTGTTGTTTGTTTCAAAGACTCTTGAGCCTTTTCAAGGCTGAGTTCATGTCTGTATAAGCGTTGGCTCCCAATGTAAACGACAACTTTCAAATTTCAATCAAGAATCAAACTTTTGGGATTTCTCTCAAATTCTATGGACTCCAAAACCTGTTCTCCAATGACTTACGCTTATAATCCTTGTTAGCTTTGTGCTGGATCAAAAACTCAATTTATAAGATATAAGTTATCACTAACCATTATAACAAGGAGAGATGGAAACTCCCGAATGCTATTTACAATTACTGCATCAAGGATTATGAACCTAATTAAAAACCAAATGATTGATTAAGTCATCGGATTAAGTTAATTATGTTCACACTCAATGACAATGTGAAGAAGAGTGACCAACCATTATTTTGAGGTATTCATCAATTTACCCCCTAAACTTGTAATGATTGGCCAATTTTCCCCCTCAACTTTAATTTTGGCCAATTCCCTCCTCAACTCTCATAATTAGTCAATTTGCACCCAACTGTTTTTTTTTTTTTTTTTTTTTTAATTTTTCATCTATTTTTCCGTTAAGTAGGTATCTGCATGATTGCCTTTAAACGGTAAAAAAGTCATTTTCCCTACACCTTCTTCCTTTTCTTCGAACTTTCTCTTCTTCTTCCTTTTTTTTTCAAGCCGAGCCCGTGATTGCCGCCAATGCCTCCCTCCTCCGCTGTTTGCAACCCAGTCCATTTGATATGTTGCTTTTGCAGTTGCCCACACCTTGTCGCCTCCTCCATTGGCCTCGTCTACCTCTGGTAAGGTGTAAGGAAACCTATTTAACGGAAAATGACAGTAGGGTGCAAATTGAAAAAATGACAATATGGTGCAAATTGACTTTTTTAGCCCTTCAAATGCAGTCATGCAGATACATACTTAATGGAAGAATAGATGAAATTTTTAAAAAAATAACAGTAGGGTGCAAATTGACTAATTATGAGAGTTGATGAGGGAAATTGGCCAAAATTAAAGTTGAGGGGGGAAATTAACTAATTTTGAAAGTTGAGAGGAGAAATTGGTCAATGATCACAAGTTCGGAGAGTAAATTGATGAATACCTCATTTAGTTATTCCATTTTTTAATTGGTTACTATTAGCATGGATTAATATCGGTACTAATTAGGTTAACAAACTCTGTCAAAGTACGAGTCTGTCTCTCTATCTCATTGGAAATTTAGAAGAAAAAAGGAGAAGGTATTTTTTCAGAGGTTGTTGGTTACAGGCAGGGCAGTCAAATCCATCGGGATTGCCCTCGTCAAGCATAATTAGTTAGGGACTGTTTGGTTGAAACTCAATTATTTCCAAAAGTTACTGCTCCTCGTCTGTCTCATGCTGAAAAAACTGTCATCTATTTCTTTCACTTTATTGTCACCCTGCATGCCTACTCAGTTCTTGATTTGTGAAGCAGCACCGGCCTAACCTAAATAAACTCTTCTCTCTCAGTTTCAACATAAGTAGGTGTCATTTTTTAAATAATATATAGACGCATCAATATTTAAACAGTTAGATTGAAATTATTAAAATTCTTTCGTACAAATCTAACTAGACTCATGCATTATTATTTGTCATATTTACAACGTCGGTACGAGATACATAATTGTTTAAACGGCTAGATTGAAATTATCAACACCTGGCCTCAGCAATCCAGCTAGATCATGCATTGTCATTTGTCATATCTACAAGTTGTTTTTTTCATGGAAGAAGAAAAACACAAAAGCGTGTTTCGAATATCTCTGTTGCTGCTTCCACGAAGCCAAACCAGATAAACAGACAGATGGGGAAGCAGAAATTATTATTTTTTGGTTTGGAACTTTTGTTTTTAATATGCATGTGCACTTGGTTTTATATTTTGACTGGTTTTTGTCCAAATCGATAATTTAAACATAAAAAAGAAAAACGTTGGAATCTCGGACATTCAAACTTGTCAGCTAATCTTTGTTCCATATTATATCTGGAAGATCGAACCGTCTAGTAGGTGGTTATCTCTGAAGTTTTCCTTAAGATAGTCTAAGCTCCCGAACTAATTTTATCGCATAAAGTCAATGATTAGAGGCATCAAGGGTGCGTAATGCGCTAAACATATTCTCAAACTTTAAATAGGTAGGATGACTCGTAGACGAGGCTATTTCGTTGAGCCGCACTACAAAATCGAGAGCTCCAAGTGAGCAATTTTGATAAGCATAACTGATGATGCAAGATTAATTAAAAGTCAAATTACGGTGCCTAACTACATGCTAACCTAGAGCCCACAAAGGGTGTTGGCGACGGATCAGGATCCTCTCCTGAGCAAATAGAGAGGATCCTCCTAACCGGGCCCATCGGGCCGTTCAAAATTTATCCAACGGTTACAAACAGGGAGCTCCACTAAAAGTTATAATAATTCTAACCGTTGGATAAAATTTGAACTGCTCGATGTACCCGGTCAAGAGGATCCTCTCGATTTGCTCAGGAGAGGATCCTGATCCGTTGGCGACATCAGTGATGTGGTGGACTTGGACAAATAAAAACCCTCCCAAATCATATGTCGGCTTTGTTGGTCTTTACCAATGAATTTCATCCATTTGAAATAAGGACTGTGGGCTGCTGAACTAATACGACCCAAGTTAGAAGTCTGACGGGTCTTTCCCAACCTACTATTGTGCAGGTTATGCTTGGTGAACCAACCCATTTATATTTTCGATTGGGTCAAATTTGAGTTGGGGTTTCCAAGCTTTAATCTAATAGTCATTATGTGTAATTTGATTATAACTTTTGTTTCTTATTTATCTTTTAAAACCCATTGCCCTATGTTGTGACAAGTTTAAAGACTGATCACTAAAGCGGTGTACGAACCAACAGTTCGATGCCAAAGCACGAAGCCTAATCTTTATGCATACCTTTAATGATATAAGGCACCACAGACAACAACCTATCACACCAGGGAATTAAAATTGTGACCATTTGCCTTTTGTTTTGGCATTTATCAAACGGCACCAGCAGCACGCCATTTATTTTTTAAGAATAGCCAACTTGCCCACCTCATTCCTGATTTGCTCTCCCTACATTTGATGAGATAGTAGCTGGCTCCTGCATCTTCAATGGAAGTGTCAAAACTCCAAGGCAACATACTAATCGTTTACACCCCAAAATCCCACTACTTTTAGCGAACATACTTGGCTTGGAATCTTATAGAAGTAGTCGTTAGACGTGTGGTTTGACATTTTTATATGGTTATGAATGAGTAATTTATGTCTCAAACTGTAATTTGCGAAAAGAAGTCGGTGTTTGTGATTTCACTTCTATTTGGGCCATCTGCACACACTTGACTTTGTCCTTGTTGGTAACACGCACTTGACTTTTGCATTCTCCTTAAACACAATCTTCTCTCTTTTACTTTATTTCTTAGTTTTTAAATGATAAGTAAACAATGTTTCAAACTTTGATGATCTGCAAGTAAACGATGAATAGTTAACTTTCTCTTATAAAAGCAAACGGTGCTGGACTCAAAGCTCGTGCTTGTTGTGTTGAATTTTATTCTCAGGCCGAACGCGCATGTAATTCAAGTATTCAAATACATCAAATACGTAAGAAATTGAGACCAAATAATTAAAAACAAAAAAATCCAATAAAAAAATAATGTGTTCATGCATCGGGTATATTTCCTGTCTTTCCAAGTGTAGACCTTCCATGCAGCCCCCGTATGATAATAAACTTAATAGACGAAAAATGATGCATTCACCATTCAGATCAAAAGTCGTGGCATGCAGTAGCATTTGTATTAAAAATAAAAATGATATTATACATTGGAGAAATTAATTTCCATCCTTTCTATAAACAGAAAGGCCTTGCTGTCCTTAAGCTTGTCGGTATTATGGTAATATCATTAATAATCTGAAGCCCATGTCCTCAAAGTCAAAAGGGGGACACTTCATCTTTTAAGACAAAGTGAAATAAGAACAAGTACACATTAGAATTATGAATAAAATGAATCGAATCAATATAAAATATAGATGAATTTACTTTAAGAATACGAAAAAAAAGTTGGCAGTGAAAAATTAGAATTGTCGTACTCTCTATAATCTAAATGCTTTTGCT